GATCCTTCTAGAAACTCCAGCGCGCATGCTCCCAGCGTCGCGTGACTTTCGCTGTCGTAATAATACTTCCGTCATTGTCTCTGTGTATGTGTGTGTCTGACTTTGAACACTAACAACTAGAATGTTTTTAATAATGATCGCTGTCAATGCTTCCATGCTGCGCGTGTATCTGTATGTATACTCTATAGACAGGTTTGTTTATATTTTCCATTTCAGTCTTGATAGTTGTCTTTATAACTTTTTTATTTAAACACTGTGCACTACTAGTCTTTGTACTTATAACAAGGATAGGAACACTTTGGTCTTTAAACAGATGCTGTACCCTAGTTCACATAGTAACATGTAAATAAATCTTGTTCACTTAGTAACATGTAAATATGTTGTAGAGCCAAATATTTCAGAGGCGTGCCCCGATTCAGTTTTATAGTCCCCCGAATTCCCAGTTGGTGTCTTGAAAAATCACTATAGAAAACCGTGATCGATATTATACTGAAACACCAAAGATTCCAGCGCCTGTAGACCCGAGCCTAGAATCTTTTAAGCACCTAGCGACGCCTCTGGACTATTGGTTTGTTTGCTTTTGGCACATTACTCGATAATTATCACATTTTTTATATTCAATCACGATAATCATGCGTTTAATATTTCAAAGGAGTTATCGCACGTTTAGGTTATATGTGCAGGTTATCGAGTTACTACACCTATTCACCGAAAGAAAAATATGTGGATCTGTGGTTATGTTTTGCACCCTGTAGATAAAAAAAAACGTGGTTCGTACCCCGTATCAGCCACACACGCACACACTAACGTGAAAAATGTTTTTTTAAATTGTGCGGTTTGGGACCGTGGGTACGTTATAATTCCACTTTTCGATTAGAGTGGCTCACGAGTTGGCAGGGGATGTTAACTAACTAACTCTTGGGCTACTCTTTTACCAACGAATTGACCATCACTTTATAGCGCCCCCACGGCTGAAAGGGCGAGCATGTTTGGTGTGATGTGGATTCGAACCCGCCAGTCGATCGCCCTAACCACCTGGCTACTAAACTAATAACTTACTGTACAAGGTTAAAAAGTGGTAAAAAAAAACCCAATTTGAGTGTATGAGATTGTTTTCCAGTCACATCGAGTTTTTAACACTTTTTAACCTTGTACAGTAAGTTATTATTGTAGTAATTTGGAGACTGGAAACAATCTCATTTTTATTGAATTGTGTATAAAATATTCGTTGTTTTTAAAAAAAATGTTTAGTTTTTAAGATTAGGCCTATTTGTTTCTAATGCGTCGTCAGCTTTCTGCATTTAGACTATATCATCATGCATATAAACTCGAACTTTGTTGCTACATCGCCTCTAATCAGTTACATGAACAACTACCATATAACTTATACAGCCTACATCATTGTTGGACTGAGAAATCAACAAGTCTATCTATGTGGGAAAACCCCACTCACCCACCTTTCTCTAAACGTTCTGGGTATTTTTCGCCTGGCAAGAACTTTAATTAAAAATTATTGCTTAGAACCAATATAAAACCGATATTATGAGCAATACGCCTATAGCTAACGCTTCAAGGTGCGTCAAAGACCCGTTTTTAATACTTTATAATAATTTAGATTGAATTATTCCTTTGATCAGGCGAATTTCGATCAGCTTTATAACCTGCGACATTCAAAGACACGAAAAAAGGTGTTTCATGAAACGTACAGTTAAATAAAATTGAAAAAAGATGTTTCATGAAATGTGCAGTTAAATAAAAAGCGTTTTTTTTTCTTAATAATTCGTAGTTTATCGCAAATATGGATTCAATCCTTCACGTAGCAATGAAAACTTTAATAACTGATTTAAGAAAATAGCTGAGTGTCTTGTCGCAACTTATTTCTTCAAGAGTCAAGTTCGGAACATTGTCGCAAGCGAGAAGTGAATTTTGTTTTTGTTTTCAATTGAAAGTAGAATCGCGGGAAAATTCGGGCATTTTTGGAATAGCGTATTGTTGCGTCAGCGAGGTCACGTGACTAGTGTCACGCCACCTATTTTCTAGAACTATCCTGTTCCTTCGGGAGTGCTCTATCATTTGATAGATTGGGGGTGGTCTGGTATATATAAGATGGTCACGGCGTGACGTGACAGAGTGTGTGTAGGTAGTGAGTAATTGATCTGCAGTTCGTTATAGCGTTTGTTTTAGCGCGAATGTTGAAACCAAGTGTATCGTAAAGTTATATTCAGAAAGAATAAACCAGTTTTATTAAGTAAGGACTTGTGTCGCTAATGTTTTGTCGGAACGAAGTTACGGAAAGTCAAATAACAAACGGAGACGTAACAGTATTCTCGAAACTTGTATTTTTTGTTTGTTATTACATATTTAAAGCTACAAAAATAATTTTTGTCAAACCTTACATTAATGAAGAATACTCAGAGTTAGGCCTACTAATACTTAGTTTTATGTATATTTTCATATTTATCGATATACAATTCTTTATAAACTTGTTTGTATTTATTTAGAATCTTCTAGAAACCATACAAATGAAATATTAAAACTGCTATTTAATTAAAATATTTTTATTCTCGGCATGAAATTCACATTTCAGTTTTTCAGTCATAAAATTAAATATCAGTGTTGTAGAACAAATACAACATTTAGTTATAACAATTTTCATATACATAATATACCAGAATACCATTTCTACGCACTTGGCAGAATATGTAGAATTAAACGATCTGATTCTAGAATATTGTTGCGTATCTGCTTGTTTGATAATTTCCGGTAAAAATTCTTTCCGAGAAACTTCAGCGATACAGGTCTTTTCTTAATTAAAACTAATTTATTCTTTCTCGATACAACTTTGCAGTACACAGAATTTCCACAGTCAGTTTAAACTTGACTACTTTTATAAAAACACGCTATAATTCACAGGGATTCACACACTTTACTTATGGCTTGACTCGATTATTTCCATATCCAATCTCTCTATCTATCTATCTCTGCAATCCTCTCTCCACTTTATTTGCCAGGCTTATATACTAAAAAAGAGGGCGCACGGAACAGACTAGAGTTGCCAGGACAATTCAAGATCCTTCGAGAATCTCATGACGTGTTACCAGCGTCACGCGACTCCCGCTGTCGTAACAATACTAATTCTACGCACTTGGCTGCGTATATATGACTTAACGATCTGATTTTAGCATATCATTTTCCCCGAATTGGCAGCATATATATATCATTAAATGACCTGATTCTAATGCACCATTTCTCCAGAGTACTTTTCATTGGCATTCTTAAATTAGTTTACACAAAAAAGAAATACATTGGTTAACTGTGATTAGTATGTGCATGCAAATTATCAATCAATTATTAACCGAAAATAAAACAGATTTTTACCTCCTCTTTGACCGTCCCGAACTCTGGATCGAGGGTTTTGAAGTGATATCGGTAGTGGCCAGGCCTGTCAAACAACTCCTTGAAGTCTCTCAGGGTAATTTCACCGATGCTTATAAATACACGAAAGGTAAGAAACTAACTTTTATTTCGCATGTAATAGTAATAGGAATAAAAAGATATCCGCTTAAAAGATTTAATGTACGAAAAAAAACGAATTGAGTTTCCAATTATTTCAAAAGGTCAATGTAATTACTTTGTTGTTTGAAAGCTGGGTTCAGATTTTATGACAAGTATGACGTCACCTTTCAGTTTTCGAAATATTCTCATGGAAGTTTGAAGTCCAGAACCAAATATATAACCAAAAAAATACTTCTGGGTTATTATCAACCACGGCTCATTCGTGATAAACCGAGTTGGGCACAGCTCAAATAGCCCATTGTGTAGATTTGGGACTAACAACATACAAACGAACAAAGACTGAATTCTAAATATATCATAGATGGTTCGTAACAGTTCCCTCAAATGTCAAGAGATTTGCAAATATTAAAATTAATAATATCAGTTAGATAATCCATAAATACATGTGTATGTGCTTATAACGGCATCAATTAGAAACGCTGATTTCGACCTTAAAGAATTTTTATAAATCAAATTACTTTATTACAATTAAGTTTGTTCAATTTAGGTTTCATAGCCGCTTGGAATATAAGACACAACTTACAAATAACAAACGCTACAATTAGCTTGAAAATTCGTCAGGATAATTTTATTTTGAGAAACTATTAAGATCTTACATATGTAATTCTTTACTGATTCATTCGGACAACAATCAACTATCATTTTCTTTAAACCCATTGAAACTTAGGCCAGTTTTAATAATTACTATGTAAATATATGGTTTTGAAAGATTATCTTCAATCATTGATTTGACATAGAAATAATCCTTCCTATATGATTGGGTGAACTTGCAAAATAAATGTCATTTTGAAGACTCTGATTTCCTAAATACCACAACTCTTGGGCCCAGATGTTGCATGTTTCTTCTTCCTCAACATTTCCAACCAGGTTGTTCATGTGATTTCATCATCAGAAACAGGATATTAAACTTGAAAATCCTTAGTTTTGGAAATAAGTTTACATTTAATTAAATCTAGCTTTTGCGGGGACCTTTAGATAAATAAATAAAATAGTAACTGACTTTTTTCATAATACTTATTTGTCGATATTTGACACAAATTCACTCAATAGATTTGATAAATAAAAATATGATACAAAACCAAATACCACTGTCTTCAGTGAAACGTTTCATTGTCGAAGATAAGACCATCAGGTATCGATCCAAAATGCTGCTACTTTAATCGCTTCGTTTCAAAGTTAGTATATATATTCAAGATGCTTGTAGACTAGTTCATGTACTAGTTTTGTTGATTATATAATGTGGAAAATTCGATAAAAAAACATGCGAGATTGGACACGGTGTATGTGTGTTTAAAACTCATTATATTGGTTGTCGTGTTTATGAAACTGTATTTGATTCTTAATCTTACTATAGCGTGTTTTTTTTTTCATCTTCTTTATGTACAGGAAGACCTTGAAAGACAGCTGCGAGAGAAGGAGATCGAGAATCGACACTTACGGGTTAGTGGAACTTGATTAAATAAATAAATTTATGGATTAAAATGGTCCTTTTCCAAATCTTAAATATTCCGTCAGGATTGTTTGACACTACTGAAAACGACACTTGTATTTATCAGAGATGCTCGCGTTATATAAGTATTGAGAGTTTAATATAAGAACGTTTCTGCTGTCGTTCATTCTGTATTTGATAATCCTGAATACGTACTATTGTCCGACTCCTAAATTCCCAATGTAACAAGCTTTTACGAAGGACAGAAAGGTCGATGAAAAACCATACGTTTTAAACAAACTATCTGGACATCGAAGGACTTGACCAGTAAGTGGTCGAGTGAGACTTCAGTTCTTCTGCCATCTTTCTTCGAGATGCTGTGTCTTTTGGCTTTACATCGTTTAATAGTGTTGTGAGATGTGACAGGAATGTGACATGTTCCCTCCCTGTCATAAGTTAATTCAAGGACTTTTGTGGGATTGTTGAGAATAAACTGTGAACTAAGCACTTAGTTGCTACACATGTTGCCCTTGACACACGGCTTGCATTTGATGTGTAACTTTGAAAGAATGTTTAAAAAAGTGCATTTAGAATACACAGCTGTTTGAATTTTCTTGCTAGTAGTAGCGTTCGAAATGAATATATCACGATTAAAAAAAAGTTAGATTGAATGTAACAAGACAATTTCATTATTTTGCCTAATGCGTTTCTATCAAGTATCACTCTAGTTGAACATTGTTTGCAGCATTGAAAATCAGAACTTAAATAATTTCAGCTTTATTCATCTGTTTTTATAAAATAGAATAACATTCTGAAATCAGTAAACATTACTCTGTTACATTATCCTTTACTTGACATCATATATTCTATCACTAGGAAGAACTGCAACGGCAAGATAAGACGTTATCACAGGAAAGGTTAAAATACGAGGAGGCAATAAAAGGCTTCACTTCAGCCAATAGGACTAAGGTAAGTTTAATAAATATCTATACTATCACTGAAAATGGTAAATTAGACCATTGTGCTCGTAGTGTTTAAAAACATTTTTATATCACATCTCCAGTATTGAAATAAATTATATCACATCTCCAGCACTGAAATGAATTATTATATCTCATCTTCAGCACTGAAATGAATAATTATATCTCATCTCAGCACTGAAATGAATAATTATATCTCATCTCCAGCACTGAAATGAATTATTATATCTCATCTCCAGCACTGAAATGAATTATTATATCTCATCTCCAGCACTGAAATGAATTATTATATCTCATCTCTAGCACTGAAATGAACTATCATATCTCATCTCCAGCACTGAAATGAATTATTATATCTCACCTTCAGCACTGAAATGAACTATTATATCTCATCTCCGGCACTTAAATGAATTATTATATCAGATTATCTGTGTTAGGTAATTACAATAATATTCGATCTGCTCTCTTAAAACTGTTTTACAAATATAGTAAGTGTTGCATAGTGCGACTGTTGCTATACATTTTTTTATATTTAAATTCATAGATTTATTGAGATATGAAGTTTGAGATATTGAAAAAGTAGATATTTCGCTAACAGTATATAGTAAATAGCACAATACAAAACCCCACAACAGACTAAAACCCTACTTCAAAGTTCATGGGCTTTACAGTAACTCCTTCACTGAATTTTACGAACACACACTCTTCTCACTCCTGAAATTCATTTTCTGATAACCGTAATCCCTAATTAAAAGTAACTTGTATAGACTGCCGTTCAGATAAACTCAATAGTGTAGGATCGTTTACGGGTTATCATTTGGACTTTTCTAAAGGTTACTCATTATTGTTTACGTCATACATACACTATATCAAGCAACGGTACCACGTAACTATGTCTATCTGCCAAACTTGTAATACACAAGGTATACATTTTCAAACTTATAAATATCTTGATATTAAAGTATAACATGCCCTTCTTAATATATATATATATATAACTTGCCTATTATAATCATTAAATGCTAAACATTACCACGAAAATTTATGAAAATAACACAGGGGTGTCAAACTTCTCTGATTTTTCAATAAGAATTCAGTTTGATGTTAAATACGATTACATCAATTTTTTTAAACTTTTTAATTTTTATTGCAAATATTTAAGACGCTGTGGTTTGTTTATTTTGAAGTTCAGCACAAAGCTACACAATGGGCTACCTGTACTCTGCCAACCACGAGTATCGAAACCCGGTTTCTAGCGTTGTAAGTCCGCTGTGGTAGGATCTGAGTTATCCATAAATTGAATTGTCGTTACGAAGAGTTATTCTGAAATATAAAAACAAAATTGTGATAGGTTTTTAAGTACTTATATATTGCTGTTCAGGTATTAAACTTTGTAGAACTGAGTTATCCTGCAATGTAAAAGATTCGAAGCTATCAATTAGTGTAGACGTTTGTAAGCTACCACGTACTGTAGAAGCTTGTAAATTATCCCAGTTTACATTATACTAGCATTTGTACATAAATGTGCCAAACATTTAAATACTTCATTAATCATACATCGAAATTATGGTTTAATAATAATGTTGGTGTAGAAGTTTCTGAATTATCCCATGGTGTAAAATGTTCATTGTTATTACGTGGTGTAGAAGACTCATAATTAATGCGTGGTGTCGAAAGTTCTGGACTGTCCCATGATGTAGAAGACTCTTAGTTAACGAGTGGTGTAGAAGGTTCTAAATTATTCCTTCGTGTAGGAGACGCTGAAATATTTCATGCAAAACCCTACAACCCTTCGAACGACGGACCTTATAATGGAAATAGTTATGGAGTCAGCAAGTGAAAAAAAAAAAGAGTATAAAAGGCAAGTACTACGGGAATACTACCAAATGTATTGTGTAGAAAAGACCTGCACAATAGTACATTCATATGTTGATTGTTTACACTGTGATTAGTTGTCATCCAATCAGAAAGTGTCACGCCACTATAAAAACCTATAAATGTAAAGGCAAGTATACTATGCCCAGTAGTAGTAGTACATAAACCTAGTCTTTTGTCCTTGGACTCAAATACTGCGTGACAAACAAGTAGAAATTACAGTTTTGGCTAGTCAAGGAGATTGCATGAGAAACATTGGCAATAATGCACAGTTCAGTAGGATATCTATGCAAGATTCGATGAGGGGACATGAAACTGGAACTATTAATAAAAGAAGTGATCGAGGTAGAGAACTGACATTCTTCAAAAATGATACGAATCTCGTGGAATGTTCTTTACGAAGTAGAAAATGAACAAATACTAATCTTGCCAACGAATGTGTAAATAAAGGTGTGAATGTTATCTAAGGAATGATAACACATTAGCACGAAGTGGTGTCAATGGACTGCTAAAAGGTAGTAAATAAATCAAAAGGTTGAAATGAGCATTGGACCACAAACAGTTGAATGAGCAATGCTGGAGACGTGTGTTCTACAAAGGAATTCAAGTTCAAATTGTTCGGCAACAATAAAAACGGTTATTTGAAGGTGGGAAGAGAACGGTTTCATAGTCAGTGTTTAAAGTTGTTTGGAAAAGGTTCCAGTATTTTGAAAGGGGGGGATGTGTTGTTGTTTGACCTGACGTGAAACATTCTTGTGCCATAGTTACAGACACACCAAAATCAAACGTACTTTGGTGCGAAACCAAATAGGTGTGGGTAGGGTGTTTTGCATCAGTGTAATTTTATCTATTTATTTTTCTTTACAGTATGTCATATCCCCGTTTTGTTTTTCTTTACTGGTGTATATCGACACAATTTAAGCTCTTATTCATAATCAAATACAACATGTATAGTGAAGCATGGTGGTAAATTAGTAGAAGTTTGAGGATGCATTTCGGCTAATTGGGTCAGTAATTTATACAAAACTGATGGCACTCTGACCTCTGACAAGTACAGGTAGGTTCTGATCCATCATGCCATTCCCTCAGGAACACTGCTTATCAGACTGGGATTAATTTTCCCATCAAGACAATGATCTCAATCATATAGCAAATTAGATGCGGCGAAACGACATATTGGCGGTAAAGAGGCCGACTTGATACTCACGAGCAAGGTTTGATCTGCACAAAGTCTTGACATGAACGTTGAGGCTGTATTGGATTATGTAAAAACCGAGAAGATCAAAAAGTAATTAAACAGCCTGACTGAATTGTGAGGGGTGATACAGGACATTTGGAACAATATTCCCCAATCGTGCATTTACAGACTGTGTAGCAGCGTGCACACAGGGTGTTATACTCTTGTGTTAAGCAAAGGGCTTATATGCAAAAATATACTGCACAATTTATTTGTTATATTTTGTATTTAATGTGATAATGTTTGTACCTTTTAATAATTTCACCAACTAGTTGTCATTACTTATTGTTGGTGATTCCTCTACGTGTATCGTTTCTGTATTTCCGTATTTTTCTGCTAGCCGAAACGCCTCCCTGCGGGCTGTTGTTTGTACTAATAATTATTAATCGTATAATTCATACCTCATTGAAAAAATTTAGAAAAGTGAACATTTTCTGAAAAAAATAAACATTTTGGGGAATTACTGCACAGGAAAAGTGTTCGAATTGCGCTCTTTGATCATATGTAATTCATTGCATCAAAATGATTCAATGTACAGAGCTCAAAATTTTCACAAATTTTACTGATATAAACTGTAATAGTTTTATATATTAAATGTTTTTAATAATAGTTTTTTAAGAACTCCAGTTTCTCATACTACATTTAAAAAATACACAAATAAAATATGATCAAACCCTCACGTACAGTCCTAGTGAACGTCGTATTCTTGTTGTGAGGAGAGTACTTTTATTTAAAATTGTGTTATATTATAAAGAAATGGTTTTTACACATACCACAGTGTAATAACTGTGGTTGTTACACATACCACAGTTATTGTTTTTAATTGTCTGATTCTTGAATACCCAAAGTGTGAAATGTTTTAAGAATTTTTGTTTGTGGCGCCATCCAATAGATGGCACAGTTTTGGTTACTTACATAGATAATGACATACATTATACGTCCATTATAGTAAGACTGATATATACATGTAAAATAGCTAGCTACTAAAAAGAATGGTAAGGTTATATTTCGGCAAAACATTCTTTTATAATGCAATATCGGCGCTCTACATGATTTTCTAAATAAAAAAAATGCTTATTTCATAATTAAAACCAAACCTTCCAATTCTGGCAATTAGTTTAAATATTTGAACCATGATTATAATAAACGTTGACCCTTTAATTTTAAAATTCCAAATATCTTTCACGTTTATTTCTAGCAAATAATTTGAGTTTGTAAACGGTTAGTAATATCAATTATGAAGGATAGTTTCAGTAAATGAATATAGTTTATTTGATTAATAAATAAATCACGTCTAATAAGCTAGATAAATGTATTAATAATTCATTGTGGCAGGCAATATTTACTTCTCGATTGGCTGAACAAGAGAAAAAATTGACAGATTTAGAAAAATCTTTAGAACTTGCTTTCTGTGCAAGGATAGAGGTAAATCGTAATTATGTGTAGAATACGTATTGAGAGTTACAATATCAAGTTTGTAATATATCAACTGTCAAATGCTCATTATTAAATCAAACAAACCGCTAGATAAGCATGTAAAACGTATTTGCTAATATAACTTATCGGCCAATGGTCCTTCGAGTAGGTTTGGTAAAGGTCAATTTCAAAATATCCGGTTTCAACGTTTTATTTGATTTACTGGCAGATATGACCAGTTTAATACTAACATAGAACGCTTTCTTTTTATACTGAGGTATTTATCACCAGATGGAGTGATTGCTGCATTTGTTTAAGTAAAAAATAACCAATTGACTCTTTTTATTTTTACTTTACCAGCAGCTAGGTGGTAGGCCGGATACTAATTGTCAAACAAATTCATTGTTGTCGGTTTGTATGATTGTTTTAGTTGAAAGTTTTATCTCCTATAATGAAATGTTTTTATTTGCACTGTGCTGTATCATATACAGACTGTTTTAATGTCTTGGGCTCCTCCTATTCTCGAAATCTTGAAGATTTAAAGATTTACAACATGTTTCTAATTCATAGAGGTAATACATTTCATTTTTATCCCAAGCTTCACCACTTATTACTTTATAAATACACGTTTGTAGTTGTATTTGATATTTTGTTCTCATGTTTAAATTTATAAAGATTTTTTGTTGAAAATTTCATGCATTCTTTCACCAGTAGAAAATGCGTTACCCTCAATTATGTTAAAATCATTTGAATATAATTTTTTAACCTTCTTTAATACTTTACAGAGTTATGAATTGCGGGTAGTAAGAGACGCTCTTCTTTGCCTCAGGGATTGTTTTGAGTCCAACGACCCCTATCAACATACTCTCGACACCATAGAGCAAAGTATCACAAGTCTATTGGAAAGAGTGAACGCCCTAGAAATAACACGGGTGAGGTTAATAGGATTGTAATACTCTTAATAGTAAGAGGTATAAAAACGCATTACCCTGAACTTAGGACTAAGAGAATGTAGTTGTTTTTTTTATCTTCTGTTACAGAGCAAGGGGTATTATGTCGAAGGATTAACATCTTCGCCCGTACGAAACTTGAACTATGATTCGACTGGAGATCCTAGAAGATATCCTATTACTACTTTACCGGGTAGGTGTATCGAATCAATACGATACAGAACCAAAGTATTTTTCAAATTAAATGTTTGTTAAAATTCGCCTTAAATACGTTGCGCCATCTATTGATAACATCTGAATCGTCATTTATAATCACATTTTTTTTATTCATTCGAACGCATCGTTGATTACATTTTTATGGATTAGAATTTGTTTATTTTAACTTCATATAAAACATCAATGTAATTATTAACCATATAAATTTAATATCTTTGAAAAACAAGGGTACCCAAAATAAAAGCAAGAAGACACATAAAACGATAAATATTTTCATTTAGTATATAACCGAATAATACCCTAAAATAATATCCTATACTAATGAAGTCTATGTGTAAAAATGTTTGTTGTTTTTGAAAATCTATGCTGTTCTTTATTGACATTGACTATTGTTCACTCACTAACTACTTAAATCAAATGTTTGGCTTCTCTTTACCGTTTAAATCTGACAGATTTCCCACTTCATCGGTTGGAGAGTTCCGCGCCAAGTGTAACTAAAGTCAGCTGTACAAAAGTTCTATATTATACTGATAAATCAGTCACGCCATTTTTGTCTATTATTCCTAAAAGGTAAAAAAACGTTTCCATGATGTTTTGTAATATTATACCTAATACCACAAGTAAATAAGTCCATAAATAATGAGTCATTGTTTTCGTTCTGTGCTATATATATATTCGTTGTATAAATTTTCATATTATTTTACGTTAACTTCACCAATGTTTTATTTACCGTGAAAGCTTACATTATGTCTTGTTAATGGACATATCACAATCTTAATGTGTTTCTAATTGATAACGTTGCTTACATCATGTCTTGCTAATGGACATATCACAATCTTTATGTGTTTCTAATTGATACCGTTGCTTACATTATGTCTTGTTAATGGACATATCATAATCTTTATGTGTTTCTAATTGATACCGTTGCTTACATTATGTCTTGCTAATGGACATATCATAATCTTTATGGGTTTCTAATTGATACCGTTGCTTACATTATATCTTGTTAATGGAAATATCATAATCTTTATGTGTTTCTAATTGATACCGTTTCTTACATAATGTCTTGTTAATGGACTTATCATAATCTTTGTGTTTCTAATTGATACCGTTGCTTACATAATGTCTTGTTAATGGACATATCATAATCTTTCGTGTTTCTAATTGATACCGTTGCTTACATTATGTCTTGTTAATGGACATATCATAATTTTTATGTGTTTCTAATTGATACCGTTGCTTACATAATGTCTTGTTAATGGACTTATCATAATCTTTGTGTTTCTAATTGATACCGTTGCTTACATAATGTCTTGTTAATGGACTTATCATAATCTTTGTGTTTCTAATTGATACCGTTGCTTACATAATGTCTTGTTAATGGAC